AGCAATTTTTGAAAATATTGCACACGCACCGCACAAAATTGTAAACAATGCGCAACGCTTCACTACCAAAGGCGCATTTTACACGCTCGCACGTAACATCCGACCACCTGACACTGCTGCGCCCCTGACTGAACGTCGTGGACGGGTAAAATCGACCATCATACGCCTAATGATCATACGCCTAATGTACAGGAGCATGAGCCATTTGCATATCACAGTCCATAGTGAGGACGATCGTGCCGCCCCACCTAAGCTATGCGCGCACATCCAAGAGGAGCGTTAGCAGGACACGTCTCCCCATCGAGCCTCGTCACATCGCTACACCTGCGCCATTCACGCGCACACCCCGCAGTCACACTGTCCCGGTCCAGGCGCGCCCCCCGCCTCAGGTGGACACACTTCCTCAATGTCGGCGATGACCCGCTGGGCCCGCGCGAGACACTCATCCATGTCCGGCGCGCGCGTCACGTCCTCGAGGGCCAGCAGCCGCCGCAGGACGCAGCGGACGCGCGCCAGGTCCCAGCGAAGGTGGTCGCGGCTGTGCTGCCAGCCGTCCAGGCCGCGTACGGCCGCCGCGCCGCGCGCGCCGTCCAGCCGCCGGTCGGCCGCGAAGCACAGCAACTCGACAAACTCGCGCACGTCCATACCGTGCGTCGCCTTCAGCAGCTGCTGGCACTGCGCAAGCCAGGCGCCGGAGCCGTCGGCGATGTCGGCGAGCTCGGCCTTCACCGCCGTCAGCGAGGCCAGCAGATGGCGGCTAGCGTGGCCCACGTTGGCGGCGTTGAGCCAGTTGTGGTTGATGGAGATGGTGTCGCGCAGGTTCCACACCTGGTGGTGCCAGTCGGACGGCACGAACATCACCTCACCCGCTTCCTGGATAACGTCGAAGTAACGCACGCCGCCCGGCGACGTCTTCGGCTGCAGGCGTGCCACGCTGACGCCGGCCGGCAGGGTCGCCGAGCTGACGGCGGCCGAGGGGCTCTCCGCGCCGAGCACACCAGCAACATCGAACGGAAGCTGCGACAAGCTGCGAAGCTTCTCTTCCTCGCCAGGTGGCAGCAGGATCCAGCGTTTCCTACCGCACACGTTGGCTGACCAACTGAACGAGCGGAAGACGTCTGCGTGGAATGGAGTCCTGAGAATAAGAAAAAGTTTTTGAGCCCTACCTGAAAGTGTTCTGACTAACCTGCACCAGACCTTCTAAGACAGCCGCAGTGGATTTGTCACTTTGCTACCAGCAACCCCCCCATAGGTGGCACACTGCAAGGCTGTCAGTTTCCACCACATACACAAATCCATTTGCTTCATTGTAACCAGCCAGTACCAACATGGCACCACATAAGACATGTTCATTCCTATACGCTGGCACCGGACGGCCATGTGGTATATGCGTCTTACAAGCTGTCTCTTCCCTATGTTTGCACACATGACTTACCATGTGCCAGCCACCCCAACATAAACAAAGCGAAAGTCATCACGAAGCTCCGGCTGCTCCTCCCAGAATTCGTTGAGCCAGTCTGAGGCAAACAGACAGGGGGTGCGGTACACAGGAGGGTCAGCCGGCTGCTGGAGACGCTGCGCCGCGTGGAAGTGCCAGTCCTGCCAAAATGAGCAGGATTCATGGTGATGGTGACTACATTAGTCACTGGAGCTTGGTGAGACAACAACCCACAGTCTTTGGATGGCCACATGATTTGAATGGTCTTCATGAGACACTTCATGACAAAGTTTGTGAAAATGATGTTTTCTTTCTCTGGGCAGCCATAAAATGCTTCAGGCCTTTGCAAAGGCAACATGAATGATAGGCCACTGCCAGCTTTTGCATTAGGCTGGAAGTGCAGAGAACCAACAACAACAGACTTTGAATGCCTTCTAGACTGGTTGACAGACCCTTTCCAGGAGCCAAATGGATAGCAAAGTCTTGGAAATTACTTGTAATTACTAGTTGGTGACCACCTTCCTAGTGTGTCTAGTGCAAATGACCACAGGAAGTTCAATGAGATACACTTTGGATATTTCTAAAACAGTCACATTTCAGTATGCAAAATGCGGATGGTGATGGCAATGTGTCATAAAATAGTAACTCAATGAAGAAGCAAAATTCCATAAAAAAGGCATCAATGGTTTGAGCAAGTCAAAAATAAAACAGCATCCACAATACAGAAAGACAGCATAAGTACAGGTGCAAACTACACCATTGCACAACAATTTCATTTTGATGGTGGAGTCTCAGGAATGAAGTAAGCAGGAACTGTACATTTAACCTACATGTGTGTGTACATTTTGCAATTACACACCAGATAAGATATCATATCTGGTCATGCTGTCTCATCACTTATTGTGGTGTTCTCTTCTTTTCCAAGACTTGTTATATAGAAACTCTATCCTAAAAGCATAAGAGAATGTGTAAACAAAAAACTCCACATGAAATCAAACCAGCAATGGTGTAGGCCACCATGCAAATGATACTCTGGAATGTGCCATAAGCACATGCCTTCAGATACAGGGTGTCTTGCCGATCCTTTTGTTTCATGTATTGTAGATATTCTTTGAGCTTTAGCTCAGCTTTTGGCTGAGAGTCAAAGTACTTCTCTGAACAGTTTGCCACTGGAACATTCAAGTTCCCTATAAAAGAGAAGTGCAACATTACCACAAACATCATGATGCTACACTTAACAAAGTGCTGCATTTGCAAAATGAACCAGTCTTTTTCACTTTCCAAATGAACATTCAAGGCCACTCTTCCCAAAGAGTAATAAGCTACTCAAAGCATTTAACATATCTAAACTCACCATATTCCAAGCCCAAGTCCTGCAGGTCTGGATCCCCACTGGAATCTACCCAACTCTTCGATGCTTTCCAGTCATCAATCATACCACAGCTTAGGATGCAAGGGGAATTTCCCATGATAAACCTAGTGTAAAACTCTTCATATTTAGGTTCCTCAAACGCAAAACTAAAGACTGGATGTGATACACCCGTCCTGTTTCGTGCACCCCACCGCACCTCGGAATATCTCAGGTTCATCTCTCGTCCTTGCTGAACTTTGACTTAGCAGACGATAACCAGACAGTTGATTGCCTTGGCTGCGACGTTTCTGTCGTCGGAATTGAGGCAAGGCCCAGGCAATCCAAGGCCGTTGTAGTTGGACGGTCAGAGAGAAACGGTGAATCATTATTAGTTCGTAGCGTGGGAGGTGAATCCGCGTTTTCTCCTGGTAAGAGACTAGATAGGGGCAGGCTGCATTGATTTCCTGATACAGACGGGGATGCTCCTTCCTTGTCTGTGTTTGGTTGCGAACACAATGAAAATTATTGCGTATGGGTCTTCAGTGAAAAGTGGGGTGGGGTGACATCATCGCCCTGCGATTGATTCCCACTGGTACACCCAGGAACCACTCTAGATTACTTCGTTGGATATCTTCTTGCTATTCCATCGAACATAGGCCATTTCAGGTATCACAGAGGTCATACCATGCATTTATGGTACAGTATGTAATGTGCACTCCTGTTTGCGAAGTATAACATATTTTGACAGGATTTCATTAGGCCAGGCTTGGGAAATAATTGTATTCAGGACAGTAATTTTTTGCTTTGACAGCTCACACTATTTTGGGTCTTCCTGTGGTATGCTTGGGCTGGTAATAAGTTAGGTGAAGATTCTGGTGGAAGCAGCAAACACTGGTGTGTAGAAAACAAAGGAATAGCAACAAATAGAGGCAGAGTTGGCCCTAAGGTCAAACATGCCACATACCTATTGACTGTGTATTAGCTGTCTTCATCACTTCCATCTCATCCTGTCCAGCCTCTGATGCAGCTACTTGTGCAACCCACCATGTAGTCAGGAATGCGTCAATGAAAATAATGTTTTGATCTGGAGGCATTCAGAAGTTGCATGGAATGTCCTGAAAATATATTGCATCGAGTATTGCCTAAATGGCCTACATCCTGGTGTGTTGGATAGGGTATAAGATATGAGCTTGTGATATATTGCTAAGATAAGCATGGCACCAGGCTATTGTAAAGTAAGGATATATTGCAGAATTTAAAGGTTTTCTGCTGGCTTCAATTTGCACTTATCAAATTTGTGGCCTTTTTAGCTTTAAATACATGTCATAAGCTTGCATCTCAATATCTTTTGCTTCCATTTACAACACGTGCAAATGCCATTCATGTGAGATTATATCTTTGAATGTTGCTTTCACCCCAAAGTAAGTAACACCTGTTTTTAGACACTGGTTTCAGTTTAAGTGAATTGTATACCTATTTTATGACAAAGGTTAGTAATCATATCATGATGCAATTGTAACTTCTCTCAAGGAATTTTCCCTCACACAGCTTACATGCCTGCCTTACCAGTAAGCCGCATATTTGTTGGCACATGTCCAGTGTAGTATGTATGGTAGAAGTTAAAATCCAAGTAGCTCATGATAGAGAGAAAGTGGTGGATAATTTATAAAGCAATCTGGTGTGCTTGCCAGCCATGGAGCTTCAGCAGGTCTAAAGCTAAGTTGTCCTAGGCTCCACATGGGATTTAAAGTGATGATAAACTTTATTTATGTGATGTTACCATCATGCCCATCTTGACTGTCAGGTGTACTGATTATTTGATTGGCCTCCAGATTTTTGAAAAGGTATTGGCCTACACTTTGGACCTATTGTGTGAGTATGTCCCTGGTCATGTTAGCTCTATGTTTTTGTTGCAAAAATGTAATACTTAGATTACTTTTAGTTGTACATTTTGGCCTGCAACTGGTTTTAGGTGGTAGTATGATTTTGTGTGTATCTTTTTGAACATAACTAACTCAGATTTGGCAGGGAAGCTTTTATAATGGTTGCAAGTTCATTTAGCTTAGTCTGGACAGATC